CAAGTACCTGGGCGTGTCGGCCACGTCGCAGGGGCAGATGGTGATGAGCTCCAAGTACCTAAAGGCCGCGCAGGAGCTGCTAGACGAGGTGGTGAGCGTCAGCAAGGGCGTCGAGGACGCCAACAAGACGACCAAGAGCCTGGCGGCGGTGAAGAAGAAGGAGGACTCGGAGGGCGTGTCCGGTGGCGGCACCGATGACGGTTCCGGCGCAAAGAGCGGTGGCGGCGCGGCGGAGATGTCCACCGCGGAGCGGCAGGAGCTGCAGATGAAGAAGAGCAAGCTTATCAACATGCTTGACGAGGTCAGTAGTAGTATATATAAATAGCACAGTTTATGGCTTCAATTCATACTACTAAGATTAATTTCACAAGTTATTTTCCATTTGATGTATTTCTCTCGATCGTGTTCAAAAATAAGATATTTTTAAAAAACCTGTTTTTAATTGCTGTTGATGAGGCCTTGAGGGTCCTTGATTTTTCATGCAAGTTTTTTTGTATGTTGCCTCGAATTTGACAGGAGATATATTTTGTCATGTTTTTGCTTTTTGCTTGCTTCTACAGTCTAAGACAGTGTCACAGTGTTATGTATTAAAAGGCTAGGAACCATTTGCCTTTCGGTTATCTTTGTTATGCTGTTTCTTTTTCTGAAAGATGAGTGACACAAGTTGTTTGGAACAGTGCATGGCTTTAATTTTAATTTGATGGATATATATCATCAGACTTTTCCCACACTTTAAATCCTTCTCTTAATCAAGCATCCATGCTGTATCAACTTGCTGTAGTAGTATCAATACCAATTATTGTTCCCCTACTTAATTCTGTGATTTCCACCTCGCAGAAAACACTAGTTATTATGTGGTTTAATTATTCCCAGCTTATTACATACTTAGGGATTCTTATTGGTACACCTTATCACCACTTAGGTTCTGTTCTTTTTTTCCTTTTGAAATATCTTAATTTCATTTTAAGCGTAACAACTAAGAGGTTCGGTTCTAATTGTAAAATGAAAGCAATAATATTTTTTTTTGTGTGTGTGGAAGAGAATGAAAACAATATAATCCAAGACAAAGTGTCATATAGAAGGTATAGAGTATATATATGAACATATTTAACTAATAACATAACAAGTGGCAATGAAAACCATATCCTCTACTATCATGTACAACGAAATATATGGCAAGTGGAGGTCTTTCAGCAAACAAAATAATCCTTAAGAGATAAGATTGGATCGTGAATGATTGCGAAAATAAATTAAATTCAACTACTTGCATTCTTTTGGTTGTACTTTGTCCATGCCAGTACAAACAAGCTTCAATTCGTTGCTTCATCAGATGTGTGTCTCTTTTTGTCTGCAATAGCCTGCTTCATGAGTGTACACTGTACTGCCAGCTGTATCTGAATGCGAGTACTACCAAATATCAATTTTTATTATTTTTATTAAAAGAAAAACATAAATTTCACTATCTCGTTAATTTCCCCCATGTCTTGTATATATATACATCATTTCTGTGCATGAGTAGACATATCATATCAGGAGGCGTGTAGCAGTTGCGATTGCACCGATCAGCATTGATAGAGTTTGTTGACGAACAGTTGGTTGGATGGGATCATCACTAACGAGCTACTTATAATCAGCTAGTAGACCAGTAGCTTGCTAGTAGTAGCAGTAGCACGCCCTGATTAATGAATTGGAGTGGTCAATGGCTGACTGACACTGTTGTGTGCGCATGGTGGCGATCGATGTCGACAACAATCGACAATGGCAGGTGGAGCAGCGGTACCGGCAGTACCACGGGCAGATGCAGGCGGTGTCGTCGTCGTTCGAGGCGGCGGCGGGCGCCGGGTCGGCGCGGACGTACACGGCGCTGGCGCTGCGCACCATCTCGCGGCAGTTCCGGTGCCTGCGGGACGCGATCGCGGCGCAGGTGCGCGCGGCGAGCCGAGCGCTGGGCGAGGACGCTGACGCCGCCGGGGGCCGCACCGTCGGGTCCCGCCTCCGCTACATCGACCACCAGCTCCGGCAGCAGCGTGCGCTGCAGCAGCTCGGCATGATGCAGGGCGGCGCCTGGCGGCCCCAGCGTGGCCTCCCCGAGCGCTCCGTCTCCATCCTCCGCGCCTGGCTCTTCGAGCACTTCCTGCACCCGTGAGTCCCATCTCATCCTCCTCACTGCACAAGCTGCAGTAGCTAGCTAGGTAGCTCATCATGAGCCCTTGTACTCTTCGACCTACTCCATTGCTCTTTGTTTGGCCCTTTGCTTGCTTGCTTTCGTGCCCATGGCGCCATGCATGCAGACTCACACCTCATCGTGGATTGGTCCGCATGGATCCTGTGTCGTCATGCAGATACCCCAAGGATTCGGACAAGGTCATGCTCGCCAAGCAAACCGGGCTCACCAGGAGTCAGGTCAGTAAATAAAACTGTGATGAATAGCATTTGGCTGTGTGTAAATTAACTTTCAAAAAAAATTGTTCTTTGATTTCTGTTAGGTGTCGAACTGGTTCATCAACGCGAGGGTGCGGCTGTGGAAGCCCATGGTGGAGGAGATGTACCTGGAGGAGACCAAGGACCAGGACGGTGGCGGCGGCGGCAATGACGAGGGGAAGTCAGGTGGCGGCGGGAGCAAGAGCGGCGACACTGTCGACGGCGTCACGCCGAGGGCGGACGCCATGTCCAAGTCCGCGGTGCGCGTGGGAGGCGGCGGGGCGGCGGAGAGCGCGTCCACCAACAAGGGCATCCATGGCTCCTCCCTGCTCGAGCTCGGCGGCGGCGGCGACCACCAGCAGTCTCACGCGGGGTTCTACGACGACGATGAAGACGACGGCGACGACGCGATGGGGCGGAGGCTCAAGAAGGCGCGCGGGGACGAGCCGGCGCCGGCGTTCCACCACGTGCACGACATGGCCGCGCTGCACGCGCAGGCCGCGGCGGCCGCGAGGCAGCAGCACGAGGAGGTCAGCCACCGGGAGCTGCTCATGAAGTTCATGGAGAGCGGCGGCGGCGGTGCTGGCGCGAGGACCACCACCACCACCACCACCAGGACGGCGGCGGCGGGTACTCGCTGTTCGCGCCGGGGCCGTACGGGCAGTTCGCCACGGAGCCCGCCGCCTTCGCGTTCGCCGGGAACGGCGGGGTGTCGCTGACGCTCGGCCTCCCGCACGGCGCTGGACGCAGCGCCGCCGAGCAGACCGCGTCGTTCCTCATGGGCAGCACCACGGCCGGCGCCGACAGCGGCAGCCACGGCGGCGCCGGCGGCGGCTACGACATAAACATGCAGAGCACCAAGTCGTTCGCGGCGCAGCTCATGAGGGACTTCGTGGCCTAGCTCGTAGGACACGTAGTATAGCAGTCGTCCGTCCACGCAAATTAATCAATCTCTCCATCGATTAATTAATTTAGAGCTTGTATAGAAATAAAGGGTTGTTCAAGCCTAAATATGCTTGCATGTATAAAGCAGTTAAGCTTGGACTATAGGTTTTGGGAATGTAAAGATGGGATAAATATCATGGGGGCGATGTATATAGGTATAGGATGATAGGTAACTAGTTGATACCCAAGCATTGTACAAGATTTTATATGTAGATCATAGGGATTGGGGGGTATACAGTAAAGTATGTGAAAGGGTATATTGGAACTGGACTTGGAACTTGGAAGTGTATGTGGTAGAAGCTAGCCAACTAGTATTATCTGCAGTAATTCAGTATTTGTTTTGCTTACTGTAAACAGATCACATTCCAACTCATTGGCAGCACCACCATGTGCTGCTGGATGACATTGTGGACAGTGGCGGATGCACGATGCGGGATAAGGGGGGGCTAAAACAATGGAGATGTTGATTTGCATGAAGATTTAATGGTGAAATCAAGCTTTTGCTACAGTGATTGGTGGTGAAATCAAGCCATTAGGGATCTGAGCCCTTCCGGATCCGCCCCTGATTGTGGATAACCATGCTCCAGTAGAATCAAGTGATTTACCTCTGAATGTTGGCAGGCAGCAGCAGCGAGTAACAACTAAAAGGGCAAACCCAGTGCCGGAGGCTCCCACATGAGTGGGGTCTGGGGAAAGGGAAAAAACCGAGGCAAGCCTTCCCCCCAAAATCTGCGGAGAAGCTGTTTCGAACCCGCGACCTGGTGACTCAGTGAGACAGCTCTCACCACTGCACCAGGTCTGCCCTTCAGCAGCGAGTAACAACTAACAACACAATAACCTGATCAGAGCAATGACTCAGAATCTGCTCATATAGTTTTTTTTTTTGAAAGATCCGGGATGATTACTTGCTTATTATTAATAAGATGGGAGAAAAGTTACATGCGCAAGGTGCGCCTACAAGCACCAGAACCAGCAGACTGCTGGGTCTGGATGATGACTAAAGTGGATTACTCATTTGTGTACTTTGCAACTTGGAAAACAAAAGCTTCTGCCTCTACCGATTTCCCCAAGTAAGCCTCATCGATGATTTCAGAGAAATTAACCGGAGATTTTTCGTTTCTCTTGAAGATTTTGTCTTTTCTTTGCTTCCAAATGGACCAGACTGTTAAGATTGCCAAGGAGTGTCCTATAATAGCGCCTTCTCCTGATATGTTCAGCAGCCATTCAGCACTTTCAGCTCAGATAGTTTTTCACTAGTCATGCTAACTGAGTCTGATGTGAGGTGACTTACAACAAAGGTGGTATTCCATCTTTTTGTTGTGTGAAATAAACCAACCCAAGAATTTCCATTCTAAATAACAGTACAAAAAATCCACTAATAGGCGACCAAACATGGCTAACTAACAAACAAACTAAGATCATACAAACAAAACATTGCCTAATGATCACCCTTGCGTTGTTTTCCTTCTTCCATTTCTGCGATCTTGTCTCATGAAGGATGCCACATTTGCACAGATTCAGATGTCTCGGGAAAGCAGGTGGTGCACTGGCATATTGGTGATGCTAGTCATGGCAGAAGTTAGCTGAGCTCCTGCTCTTAGCACTTGGAAGATGCTTGAGGGTTTGCTCTAGTCTCATTGGATGCGGCCTGTTGCTGGGATGACAGGTTGGCACACCAAACCAAGAGGCATGTTCATGTTGTTAGCGTTCTCTGCCACTCCACTGCCGTCACAATTTGGCTCCAATAAGCGCACAAGTGACAGAAAGATTTCCATTCTGGTTACGTCCCGGTTTGCCTGCACCAACAGCCTCAATCAGTAAGGAAATTGACAAATCAGCAGTAGTATTCATCAGCATCATCTCATTACTTTGGATTTCCATTCGGGTTACTGTTTATTAATTTCGATTTTGAACTGAAAGAATCCTAATTATCAAATTTAGCTGTATTACCTCAACAGTAAATCGTGCCCAGATTTTACTTTTGCGCATTTCCATCACACCCCTCAAGATAGTCAATCCAAGTCCTTTGATGAAATCAGCTATCTCCAAGAAGATTCCTCTATCCTCGCAAAGCATCTGCAGAGGCAACCAAGTCATCACAATTACATGTGGTCTAGGAGAAACATTGTACCATAAGCAATAAGTAGTAGAATAGTCATTACCTCCACAAGCATCTGACGAGGTCGGTCAAGATCCTCAACAATGATTGGACATGTCATAGACTGAGAGCCGACATCGAAAGCCCAGGTTGCTCCACCTTCGAAGTAGTCTTTCCAAAGGGGGCCATTTTCACTACCAAGTATCTGGTTGAAGAAGACTCTTTGTATTAAGGACATTTTCCAACTATGGAGGATTAAGTAAAATATTTTGAGATTCCCCCTCGTCAGGTAAGCTATATCATCACTATCTTATCTTAGACATATCATAACCCAAAAGGCCAAAACTAAGACTGTAAAGAATGTGCATACCTTAGACTCAGTAGAGTCCTTGAGCTTGTCTGCATTCTTCGTCACACTTTGTAAGAAAAGCATGTGCTTAACTGTCTTCTCCAACAAACCATCAATGCTACACTATTGACATAAATTTGCAATTGTTAGTACACTATCGCCGATAGTTTGTAGATAAGATATATGATTCAAAGTCTCAAATTATCATCAGAGAATTCATGCAAGAGCATACCTTTGCTCCATTCGGTACAAGCTCACGCAGCTCTTTAATACGGTCCTGTATCAGTTGCCGGTCCTTAGGTCGTGGCTTAGGACTTTCTCCTTGTCGAGATCTCTTGCGATTTGCCTTGCTTGGCGTATCAAGACCTTTGCTATTAGAAGCTGAAGCACTTTCACATTTCATGTTCTGACCGCTCTCAATCCAAAGACGTATCTGAGATTTGTGCATTCCATTATTTTGGGAAAGACAACCCTCCTCAGATTTATCAAAGAGACATGGCTGTTTAACAAACTGTGCCAATTCGTGCTTAATTAGCATGGAAGGAACGCCGAGGACTCACATTTCTTCAAGTCTGCTGAACCAAGATGAGATGTGCTAGGAACATCCGTCAATGCAGTCTTGCAAGAAGCACTATCATCAGTACACTGTTTACCACTTGGATTGACATTTGAGATGACAGCATCCAATAGCTGATCAGTATCAGTTAGTGATAAGATACCAGAATAGTGAAGCTCATTGTCAAGTGAACTGAAATGGGGTGAGCTATTGCGATATATTGATGATTCAGGGACATCTCTATCTGAATTCTGAGACTCTGTACCACTCCAGGTGACCAAATCAGCACCAACATTGTGGGAGAACTGATGAAATTCAGAACCAAACATATCAAACAAGTCATTATCTGCAGCAGGCTCCACGAGCAACGAGGAAGCTCTCTCAATGGGCATTCCTGCCTCACATCCATCCCTGTTCTTCATTCTCTGCGTGCTGACATTAGCACTTGGATCACTAAATCTATTAATCTTTTGGTCTTGTCGGACATTGTTTGACCTACTCAATAGATTCTCTTGGTCCATGTTGAAACTGTTAGAAACCTGACCATCAGATTCAGAAGTTCGAACTGAAGGAGTTTGAAATGGCCTACTTTCAGGGTTCTCCATTTTCTTAGCCAATTCAGAAGATTGGGGAACCTTGAACGGAACTAGAGACTGTTTCTGCTGCAATGTTCCTGATGTGTGGTCCAATATTTGACTCGATACACTGGTAGATAAGTTGGCTCTGCTTGCTCTGGCACCTACAGGGAGAAAATCAAAATTCCCAGGACCATTTAAATCATTGGATACCACATATCTTCCATGATGCATATTCATGTTTGTATTTTCACAGACAGAAGAGTCCTGGCGCACAAGGGATTTTAATATGATATCTCTTGCCATTGCCAAATCTGCTGATGAGTGTGCATTATTATTCAACTGTAACTGCCCAATGTTGTTCATCAAGAGTGACTGATTTTTAACTGATGTCAAGCTTGGGGAGGTCAAACTTGAGTTCATTCCAACACTCCGTAAATTTCTTCCAACTTGGCTCTCGCAGAAGGATGCTTGTTGTATAAACCGAAGATCAGGCTCAGCATAGACAATGTGCTCTCTAACAGGGTGACCATTCTGTTGCACAACCTTAAGCAAAGATGCATTCAGCAATGCATGTGGCGGTGTGCTAGTTGACACAGTTGCAGTATCAGGACGTGACTGACCATGCTGACTTGAACCGTTCTTAGATGAAGCAGATACAGCCATGCTTGAACGGTTGTTTAGCTGAGAACACAACTTCTTTGCAAACATCACAAAATTTGTGTTTTCCATAACCTGCCATAAATCAGCTGATTATTTCAACTTTCAAATATTTAGAGAGCAAGCAAGAAAACCCTACTACCAACCATCACAGGGAAGTTGAAACAATGATTTCGAGATCTTTTATGTTCTTCGCAACAATTTCCAGCACTAAGCACAACAAAGGATACAATGTATAGTGGGAAATTTTTATGTGCCAAGGTTTCTAGATGTTCCATCATGAATGAGGATACGAGAGATGTATGTTATGAATTTCACCATGAATTTGCAATGGACATTCCAAAATTTGCAGTAGCAAAGATAGGTTTTCAGATTTGGAGCAGCATGGCCCAAACACATGTCTTGTAGTTTCCATATCCAAAATTTTGAATGACATGTGCTCGTTCAGCAATGCACTATTGTTTTCTTTTCCACCTTCCACAACCTGAGAATTATTTTTCTGGAGCCTAGTGTGATAGTTATATTCTCTACTTCTCTAGCATGACCTAGAGCTTTGTGGCCTTACCAAACCAGTAGAGCCTAATTGTAGGACACCCCGTGGCAGCACAGGAATGATCGCAATAGTCTGCACAGCAAAAGTTCAGAATGAGGTCCAGAAGCACATGGCCACTATATACTTTTTACCATTTCAGTTCTACCCACCTGAATGCCAACCCTGAACTGATTGTTCATCTCAGCAGCAACCTATGAAAATGGAAACATGGTGTAAAATCCTGAAAAGTAGTTAAGAAAACACAAAACCCAATTGGACAGAAGATAGTTAAAAGATCTTCACATAAGTGCCTTGGTCCAGTCTAGTAGTCAAAAGACAAACTTGGTGTAAGATCTTCTTTTTTCACATTCATAATTTACAACAGGTGCTTGCGTCATTTGCCACTATTTTTGGTCCAGTGTGAGCAGACCAAAATTAAAGCAGCTCGCTAGCTGACAAAAGTTGAAGGACTGAAGAAGGCTATACTACCCCCACAGTGCTTTAAATGAGGTGGCAGCAAAATGGAACCAGACAAAACTGAAAACTGGGTTCGCATTTATTTCACTGGAGAATTCCTCACAAGGGGCGAAGCACTCAATACTGGCCGTACCTCGGAGGAGAGCCCGTGACCATTGGCAGTACCGTGGACGATCCATTGGTGATTACCACTGAACGCGGCACGGCCTACGGTCCTGCCAAAACAAAACACAGGGTATAGCCGCCATGAATCCGATAATCCAAGGAGCAACCAAACCAGGAGCAAGAAGATGGAGTGGCCAAACCAAGAAGGTGAAGATTCTGTCGAACCAAAAAATGCGGGGAGGAGTAAATAAGAGAAAGAAATGGCTGCGGTTGCTTTTGCTTACCCTTGTCCGACGACATGAACCTGCGACGCCATAACGTTGTTAACAAGCGAGCAGATGGTGTCAGCAGCAGGAACAGAGCACCCGGCGGCGTCGCTGGGCAGAGATTCAGAAGGCTCAGATCCGACAGGGCATGACGTGTGGCCACAGTAGCCGTCCTCCCGCACCAAATGCCTGCGCATTTCCAAGGGGGAAATGAGATTGAGAGGGAGGAAACACACCGATGACAGGAAAATGAGCCGCAGCAGCTAAGCTCAGAGGCAGAGCCCCCAACTATTCAACCTTAGGAATCTGAAATTTGCAGGAAATTGTTCGATTTTTAGTTCAGATACTCCCATCTTCGAAACTTCGAGCTTGCAGAACAGAGTAGCAACGAAAACTTGACGCTTGGAAAAAGAATGACTGAATGAGCACAAAGACCCCCAAAAAACTTTCTTACGAGGACGACCAGGAGGACACCAACGAAGAAAAATGAGCACAATGACAAAATGCTTAGATTTTTACAAGATTCAGCGGGAGCACAATGGCAAAAAGCTTAAACACCAAAGAAAATCTGAGGAAACAGTGGAGGCGGCGGCTTACACGGGGTCGGCGGCGCCGATGGCCTTCCAGAAGACGGCGTAGGACCACCCGATCTCCTCGCACAGCCGTCGCAGCGCGTCCCCGACCGCCATCTCCGTTTCCCCCCTTCCTCCAGCCGCTCCGCTAGAACCAGAACCCCGGCGCCCCTCCGCGCCAAAACCCTAGCCCCGACTCGGGCTGCGAGAGAGACCGCGTCCAGGCGCTCGCTCTAGGCGCCGCGGCAGCTGGCGCGCCCGGCCTGCTTCGCGCGGAGACCGCCGCCCCTCCACGCCGCCGCCTCCGTAGCACCTACGCCTCCCCTCGCCGCCGGGGCACGGGCAGCAGCCATCAATCACAGGGCGGGGCCAGTGGTCAGCGCCTTTGCCGCGCGGGGGTCGTCCCCCTCCTCGGGAATACAAGACGAGCGCCTCTCACAATCGGTGGCGGCGGCGGCGGCGGCGCCTGCGACGGCAGCCACGGCGGCTGCGGCGCGCGCTCCTCTCGGATTCAGCCTTGTCGCTAGCTGCCGCCGCCACTGGGACTGGCGGATGCTCTAGCTCTCAGCTGACGGCGGCTCAGCCTTGCTGCTGCTGGCTGCTCTCCACTCTCTATGGTCTGCTCTGCTGCCTCTCCTTGCTTGTGGTGGTGTCACTGTTGTGTGTGTCTCGCTCGCTTTCGTCCTCCTTGCTGCTTTGTTTATTTGCCTTCCTTTTTCTTTCCCCCCTTTTTATTTCTGCCTTCGCGGCTCCCGAGACATCCATCATCCCGTCCACAAAGGGCAAAATGGGGAATTACTTTAGCTGCCCTTTTATTCTTAGCAAATCCATGTTTTTGATGACCATAGTCTCTTTTTTTTTTCTCTCTCGTGGATGGCTAATCCATGAAAAAAATCAATATAAATAAAACATAGAAAAAATTGGTAACCGGAGTTTATATCAACTAGAATATACATTACAGATTATATATATGATTATTATGTTAAAAGGGACAGAAACTACAAAGATAAAAAAAATAATTGGATGCACAGAGTAGGTCCTAAAATTTTCACAAACTTCTAAACTCGTGTCTCTTAAAATTGTAGCCCTGTAAGAAAACGGATTAATCAACTTAGTTTAAAAAATCATTAATTAGAGTCCACAAATTTGATCATTTCTAGATAAAAGATGTCATTATTTTTTAATGTAGGGAGTAATCAACAGTTGCACCCTTATTCGTGAGACCTTTTGAAGTTGCCACACTCTGGTTGCATATTGGCTAATGTCACTTTTTGCCGTCTTTTTGTCTTACATTAACCCAAGGCATCAGCATCACGTTAGTTGCCCTTATCTTGCAGTAAACAAGAACAACAGCTGGAAAATCAAGATCACTGTCCCCCTTTCATTCTTGTTCATTTATCTCCAATGCCATTGCCATTTTAATTTCCACCTGTCACAACTTTGTGCAAAGCTTTACACCAGTACAACAGCTAAAAGTTGCTTCAAACAAGACAATATCTGGATAATATAAAGAAGAAAAAAGCAGCACAATTGGAATATGACATGTGTCAGAAACACAAAACTAGAGTATTGCTAGTTGCTTTGTGAATATAGAGAGAGAGAGAGAGACACACACACACTCCTACTACATAGTTGTACACATTCTGATCTACACCCTCATCATACTGAGGAGCATTAGCAATGATGACTATATGGACCTTCAGAAAGGCGTTCTTGGAGTGCAAATTATGCGGTCGTGTATGCTTTTGAGGGGGTGGTGGGACAGTTTAGATTTTTAACAAGTATACTATATAGTATAGTACGTATTTCTTTTTCTTGCATAAAGGCGAGGGAAAGCAAGTATAGAGATAAGCCATTCAGATGGCAATGCTGCCTGTGCCTTTGCTAGATTGGAACCTTTTCCAGTAAAGTTGTATTTAGTGAATAATTGAGGCTATGCATGGTAATCATTTGATTAGAACCTAAATTAGGCCAGAGGTTAATTACAAGGAGAACTTTCTTCCATTTATACGGAAATTTAATTGTTTTCCATGGAATTCCTACATTCAGATTTCAGACAAGCCCTAATCCTGATGATTACTTTTTCTTGCTGGACTTAACTGAGATGCTTGTAGTGGTTAGAGACGCTTGACTAGCAATCAAATTGGAGACACGCATACGTCAATCCATGCTTGCTTACTATTAAAATTCTACTTTTACTAAACGAGATCTTTGTCGTTTGATCTTGTTCACTTTTGGAAGAGGGGTTATATAGTTTGGTCCCATCAGTTTCTGAAAAGACCTTTCTCTCCTTGTACCACTGCTATTGGGCGACACCATGTGATGACGGTTTGTGTTACGTTGCCACCACATTTCGCAAAAGCAACGTGTAAATATATAATGGGTGATGAGAACATTAGTTTTGTTCAGGTCATCTATCCATAAACTAAAGGGAGTATATAATGCATGTATCCCTTTCAAGTTTGATATGATGTGTGCCGAGGTTCAGATAACAAGCTAGCTTTAGTGCTCTTGGTGTTCTCTTGACCAGTCCAACACATGTGAAAGGGAGACGTTATCCTAAGCTTGAATCCATTTTTGTGTTGCTTCGCTGTTCAATCACAAACCTAAAAAGCTTTGTGGACACACAAAAAAATGCCGCCACTTTATTTCAAGAGATGCCGAAAGCAATTGATAGATATAAGAATAATGCGCACCATATAGTAGTTTGGAATTAGGTCATCAACAGGAACGTGTTGAATTTCATTGTTTAATACTAGGGTGATGCATGATCAAATCCAATCCAAGAAAGATTTTGATGGCAGCTCGTCAGTGGATGGTTGCACTTGTTTGTTTGACGTGGAAATTGAATAGCACATGTTTAATTTCTTCTAGAAGGTCGAAATCACATCTCACATATAGGGATCGAGAAAGGAACCATATATATAGACCATTTGGTTCAATTAATCTTGTTCTTGGCATAAAGCTAGGTTCCGTCATTATTGACGAATATCAAATAGAGTAGGTACTACCTCCTACCCCAATTACTGGCAGCAGATATTTTAATTTGGGATCTATTTAGAGCGTCTCCAACAAATTTAAAAAATCACTTGGTAAACTAATGAGTTTTCCAAGTGACTAAAAAAAGTTGGGAACATATTTGTTGGCCTGATCCAACACTTTCCAAAATCTCATCAAAAAATAGAAGGTAGTTTTATAACAGGAATCTCGAACTATTTCTAAATCACCCAACAACTGTTATATTTTTTCTCTTATACATTTGTATCGGGAACCCTATCTTACTCCATATTCTTTCCAACATCCTTCCACCTTAGATTGGCGCTATGGATAGCATGTACTCGCGATGGGGTCTATTTTTGCAAGTGCTAAAAGATTGGAAGATGGGGTTGGGAGTTGTTGGAGATGCGTTCTTTCTATCTTGCCAAAAACCATGGATTGAGATATTTTTGTTTTGGGAACTCTTGAAGATGGACTCTAGCTTCAAAAGATTTGTAGATTTCTCAGAGCGGGGTATTCCTAGCTCGTGGATGTGGACTTGGTGTCAGGGATCATAAAACTAGGTCTTATCATTATTAATATCCAATAGATAATGCCTCCTATCCAATCTAACTCAAAAAAAATGTTGATTTAGAGTTGCTTCCACTGCGCCATAATTTGTTTTTAGATACTGTCAAAAATAATTTCTAGAGGCGGTTGGCTCGCCCTCTATCCATGCGTCTCTAGAAATTGTTGATTTCTTGAGGTAGGTATCAAGCCACCCATATAAATCTATTTCTAGCTAGAGGTTGTTGGATTTCGATCGCCTCTAAAAATAGTTTTACATAATTTAAAATTGGGCCCACAAAATAAAAAAATGATCATGAAAGAAGCCCACGAGATGACCCACTTGTGGTCGCAAGCTAGAAGTCATAGGATTTTCATGCAAAATACACATGCATCCGCGGGGATCGAACTCAGACCGACCGTTGTTGGTCTCACGTGTTTTCACACAAAATACGCATGTGACCGCGAGGAGCAAACTCAATACTGTTGGCCTCACATGTTGCTTCCTTACCACTTCACCTCAGCGTTACTTGTGACCAAGTGGATAATACTATCCTTGTGTATTTGCTTTAGTAAATATTATAATGAATATTTGAGACCCTGGATTACTCTAAATGGGAAAAGTTTAAATTGAAAAGATTTAGATCTCGTCCATTAGGACCAGTACTACAACTTTGGTTTAGGTCATGTCTCCATCCAAGTTTGTTTGAAAATTTGAAAAAAATGAATTTCAAAATCTAAGAAGTTAAAACAGAATTTTTGGACCATAAATAATTCGAAATGGAAGTCATCAACTATAAATTTATGGATCTCTTTGAGCTCTACAACTTTGATATAAAGTTTGACATCATCCAACTTGTTTTGAAAAGGTTATGAATTTTATTGTACTGTACTTATTTTAGAGGCGGGTCAAATTACCAACCGCCTCTAAAATCCATTTCTAGAGATGGGTGGTTTTTCCAGCCGCCTCTAAAAATGATTTTATCTCTAGAGCGACTAGAAAATCAAATCACCTCTAAAATTACCATTTTTAGAGGTGGTTGGAATTTCTAGTCGCCTCTAGAAATAGAGGGCATTTTTATAGGCGGATGAATTTTCTAGCCACCTCTAAAAATTGATATCTAGAGATTGACCATTTTTTAGAGCTGTCTTTGTCAAAAAAGTAAAAATCGATATCTAGAGATAGACCATTTTTAGATCCGTCTCCGTCCAAAAAGTGGGACACATCCCACCTCAAAAAATATTATGCAATAGTGTTGGTTCAGTTATTTTATTTCTAGTTTCTAAAAAAAAGTCGTAAGGTCCTTATTTTAACATACAAAATCTTGATAGGAGATGGAGCTCTAAGCTGAAGCAGTGACAAAGAGCCCCTTAAACAGCATGATTTCTGACCCAGCTAGATAGCCTGACAATCGCATAGGCATCTTTCGAATGCCACAATAGATGAACCTTCTTTGATGCTTTGAAACTGTCGAAACCAACTTCAACTAGGCATAATGTTCATTGAGCTAGTGGTACCAACTAAACAACAAGTTGCAGAAAATAAAACACACACATATGCATTTCCAAACGCA